GAGAAACGATAAACATTATGTATGTTGTGTTGTCAATAGTAAGAGAAACAATTGAGACCCTGCAATTGTGTGTAAATGAGGCAGAAAGTCAGAAAAGCAACCTGGGACTTGGTCACACTTTTTTGTGATGCTATATGGCAGTCGGTGTACCATTAGACAACACACTATGCTTCCACTATCTTCCCAGGCGGTAGTACCTCCCTATTTGATAGCTGCCTACTACCTACCTACCTTCTATTCACTATATATTAAGAATCTTTCGCTGTATATTAAGACTTATTCACTATACTTCAAGACTTATTTACTATATATTCAGACTTATTCACTATACATTAAAACCTATTCACAATATATTAAGACTTATTCACTTTATATTAAAACTTATTCATAATATATTAAGACTCATTCACTATATATTAAGAAGACCTTCTTTTTTCATTCACTGTAAGATTCCTTCTTATTACATCTCTGTCGGGGGAATTAAGTGTGAAAATTCCCCTGGTCCCTTTTTTCGTCTGAGATTAATGTAAAGCGTTGTCCATTTTGGGGAAGGATATCCGTTCTGCGTTATCAATTGTTTTTGTTTCCTTGGTGGTGACAAATACATGTACGGGTTACGCAGTTATCGCATGCTTCCGTCTCTACGTGTTACCTTTTGAGGACGAGAAGGTCATAACCCTCAAAAGACTATCTATAACCCTTTAAGGATGATAATTTAACCCTTTATGGACTATTTTTAACTCTTATAGGATGATGGTTTAAAGTTATTGGTGTTTCTAGATAGTGTTTCTGTTTCTCGGGGAAGGTTCATTAATACAGTGATGCAATATAATCATCACGGTTCAATAGCGTACAACAGTGGTGGTGGGTCTCGGTACAGCATCACTGGGAACAACAAGGAGGGGAGGGGGGAACCTGGGCTGTCCTTCCTCCACGTTAACTAGGGTTTCCCAGCAGGAACACTTGTACGGGCGAGTCCTCCTGCACTCCCCACCCCATCCTGCCCCTCCCTCCCTGCCTCTTCCCTTCTTGATCTCCTTTCTTTCCTCACTCTTCCTTCCCTCCCTTCTTCTTTTTCCTTTTCTGTTCTTTTCTTCAACACTTTTTTCGCCTCTTTTCCACCCTCCTTTCTCTCGTCCTTCCAATCTTTTCTTTTCTTCCTTCCCCTCTTACTCTTCTCGTTCTCCTTATCTCCTACTACTCTTCCTCTGTTTATCTTCCCACTCACTCTTGCTAGGCCTTCTTTCTTCTCCTTCTTTCTCCTTCTGCTTCACCTCTTCCCCTGGGCTGACCTCTGAATTGTAAGGTCGTTGTGAATTGAAGCAACCCCAGACAGTCCTGAGAGATCCTGGTCCTGATAGACCCCAGTCCCAATAGACCCTAGTCCCACAGACCCCAGTCCCGAGAGACCCCTGGTCCTAATAGACCCCAGTCCCAATAGACCCCAGTCCTGATAGACCCCTAGTCCTGATAGACCCCAGTCCCATTAGGACCCAGTCCTGATAGACCCCAGTCCCGAGAGACCCCAGTCCCACAGGACCCCAGTCCTGATAGACCCCAGTCCTGATAGACCAGTCCCAATAGACCCCAGTCCCAATAGACCCCAGTCCTGATAGACCCCATTCCCACAGACCCCAGTCCTAACAGACCCCAGTCCTGATATAGGACCCCATCTCTAATAGACCCTAGTCCTGATAGACCCCAGTCCTGATAGACCCCAATCCTAATAGACCCTAGTCCTGATAGACCCCCAGCTCTAATAGACCCTAGTCCTGATAGACCCCAGTCCTAATAGACCCCAGTCCTGATAGACCCCCAGCTCTAATAGACCCTAGTCCTGATAGACCCCAGTCCTAATAGACCCCCAGCTCTAATAGACCCCAGTCCTGATAGACCCCCAGCTCTAATAAGCCTCAACATAACCTCCTCGTCTATTTAAAACTTTACGATTAGGTTAGGTTAGGTTAGGTTAGGCTAGGCTAGGCTAGGCTAGGCTAGGCTAGGCTAGGCTAGGCTAGGCTAGGCTAGGTTAGGTTATGTTGAAGCTTATTATAAAGCTTGAGAATTTTTCGCCATTCGGCCGGGAATATAGTTATAAAATTATACAAAATTTATTTAATTCTATTTAGTCTCGATTATATAGATTTAATTTTGGTTTTCTGTAATTAAGACAAAAATATAAATTCAAGTTAATTATTTTTAACCTCTTTATACATCTACTTCAACGTGTTAGGAAACTGTAGAAGCTAATAATGAATAATAATAATAAAAAACTATAATAAACAAAGAATAAGGTAATAAGTAATAAGGATGAAAAGTATTATATAAGTAAAATTCTTGTCAAACTTATAACTACTTATTTAATGATCTAAGTGACGATACGAATGATAAGTAAATAATTAAGTATGATAAATAAAAGCAATAAAATAAATCAAACAGAAATATTAAATACGTCAATAAATGGTAATGAAAATAATTAAAGAAAATGTGAGTAAAAATGGTACAAATTCAACTCATCAATGTGAGGTCCGTCAGTGACTGGGTGAGAATGTATAAAGCTGCCGGCACAGTTTTGAAATCAGGTACCGTGTTATGTTAATCCAACTAATTTAATGTCACGAAGAATTGATATACTTATAAGTTATTGTAAATAGGTCACTTTATTATTCACATGTAAGTAAGTTCTTTATAAGTATTGGTTTAAGTAGAAATGTGTAGTTAGTTTAGGTGTAAATATATCATAATATATATTTAATTGAGAGGAATTGTCTTGGTAATTAGATTTATAGTAAGTTTGCGTTAGATTAATATAAGAAGGTGTGAGTAATTAACTTGTAGTAGCGTTTTACAGAGAAGTAATATATTTATGAGTGAGTGACTGAGCCGGTGAACGAACGAGTGGGTGAGTGAGTGAGCTGGTGAACGAACGAGTGGGTGAGTGAGTGAGCCGGTGAACGAACGAGTGGGTGAGTGACTGAGGCAGTGAGTGAGTTATTAAGTGATGTGGGGCGGTAAGAGGGTGAGGGAGGGAGTGAGTGAGTGAGGGGGCTGGTGAGTGAGCTAGGGTGTAACACGATGCAACAGCAGGTGAGAAAGAGTAACAAGGTAAGGTAGGAGGAGGAGGTGGTGTGTGTTAGGTGACGCCAGCCAGCCTCCACCCCTTTACCTTCTAGTGTTACTGTAAACACCCGTACGTGTAAGACAAACACACACACATACACACACGGGCATTAGAAGTGTCCACATGCCCACCTCCTAGCACAGGTGTTAATTAAGATCTCTTACGTCACTGATCTAGGTGGCGCTGCTTGATGATACTCCGTACAGGTGTTAAATCGATTCAAAAGATGAGCTATTTTTTTTTTTAATTAACTAGTTTTAAATATATGTGGATTTATTTTAATTTTTCTCTCACGGTTTATATTCATTATTTATTTCTCCTTTTTAATTTATATATATATATTTTTATTTCTCTGTTTCAATCTTTAGTCGTTTGTTGCTGGTATACCCTGAAGTTGTCATGATTTTAATTGCAGTTATTTGTATTTATTTTATTGCTATTCCAGTTCTCTCTCTCTCTCTCTCTCTCTCTCGATGGACAGTGTTGGTGATGGTGGATAAGAGTATTGTAACAAGACATAGGTTACCAACACACGAGTAAGTGACCTCATCGGCGGTGGTACAGTATGTCTTCCATCATGTTACAGCAAACACACCTCTCACTACTCCTCCCTCCTTCTCTCATTCACTTTTGTTGGGTGAACCTCTGGGGCAGATGACCTTGAAAAGTTTGTTATATCTTCCCTTTTATACACAATATATATGTGTGTGTGTCTTAATATGAGTTATTAACCACATTGTATCTATTCCTCTGACATACATACGTACATACATACATACATACATACATACATACATACATACACACATACATACATACATACATACATACATTTAAATACATTCAAGGATTTATTTTTTTTATTTATTATTTTTTTTACGGGAATTAGTCCACCCGGGCACAAGTCAAACGACCCACAACGGGGCCTGGGGGGCGAAAAAATAATAACAGAAAGAAATTGAAAATAGAGAAGAAAAATGTTATACTGTGTTAATCTACATCACGAAGATGCTGGAAAACCTTCTTTTTAAAGTGAGACAGATTGTATAAGTATGGAAACACAGAAGAAGGCAGAGCATTCCACAGTTTGGCTGTGTGAGGAAAGAAGGAGGCACTATAACGGGTTATTCTCGTGTGACCGACATCCACAGAGAAATGGTGGGCACCGCGGGCAAGACGTGTGTTACGAGCCCACGACCTTGCCGGCGGTACACAGGATGTCAAATCCACCGAACATTGCCCGTTAAAGTACCTGTAAAAGAGAGAGAGTGAAGCAACATTGCGACGAAGAGAAAGGGAAGAGAGAGTGTCGACTAAAGGAGGAGAGTTAATAAGACGAAAAAACGTAACATATATATATTACTTTTTTTTTGTGAAATCGGTTATTTTGCAAAATAACTTACAGTTAGACCTCCATTTAACGGACTGTATGGTGAGGAAATCCGTTATAGTAAGGGTTTATTAGATGTGAAAATCTCCCTCTACCGAATTATATAGAGATGAAAATCCGTTATATCGATGGTCCATTAGACGTGAAACACCAATATAACGGATTATATAGAGTTAAAAGTCCGTTATATGAAGGTTTCACTGTATTTTGGATGGCTTGACTTGAAACTCTGAGACCACCACCATCCTTGCCACTCAGAAATATACGTTGTTGTTGTTATAGTTGTTTTAACCGTATTTTCTACGTTTTAACCGTATTTTATGCGTTTTAACTATATTACCTGTGTTTAATAGTATTTTCTGTGCTTTAATCGTATTTTCTTTGTTTCAATCGCATTTTCTGAGTTTTAAATGTATTCTTTTTTGTTATAACCCTTTTAATGTGTTCTGATCACGTCTTAACCGTGTTTTTGTCTTGCTTCAGGTTGTTGCTAGTGGACAGAGCAGGGGAGCGTGAACTAGCTTTCATCAAGCCCGACATGAATCACCATTTACCTCCAGGGCAAGGTAAGTGTGTCTCACAGTATTTCAGTGTTCGTTGGAATTATCACTTACGGTTTCTTGGTGTTTCTGGTACTGCACAATACCGGATTATTGATGTTCCGGTCTAAACACCTCCGGATTATTGATGTTCCTGAAACACTTCCGGATTATTGATGTTCCGGACGACACACTGCCGCATTATTGGTGTTCCGGGCTAAACACTGCCGGATTATTGATTTCCGGACTAAACAATTCCGAATTATTGGTGTTCCTGAAACACTGCCGGATTATTGATGTTCCGAACTAAACACTGCCGGATTATTGATGTTCCCGAAACACTTCCGGATTATTGATGTTCCGGACTAAACACTGCCGGATTATTGATGTTCCTGAAACACTGCCGGATTATTGATGTTCCGGACTAAACACTGCCGAATTATTGATGTTCCGGGCTAAACACTGCCGGATTATTGATGTTCCGGACTTCACACTGTCAGGTTATTGATGTTCCGGACTACACACTGTCAGGTTATTGATGTTCCGGACTACACACTTCCAGATTATTGATGTTCCGGACTACACACTTCCAGATTATTGATTTTCCGGATTATACACGACCAGATTATTGATGATCCTGGTGCTGCACACTATCAGATAATTGATGTTTTTGACACAGTATCACATTTCTGGACTTTAGTGTTCCTGGTACATCACTCTCTCTCTCTCTCTCTCTCTCTCTCTCTCTCTCTCTCTCTCTCTCTCTCTCTCTCTCTCTCTCTCTCTCTCTCTCAATATTAATATGCTAAGCTCTGCTATCTAATGATGAGCAAAAAAAAAACTATGTCCATTACATTATAAAATAGTTCATCACACTATAGGAAGATTATATAGGACGTAGCTGCTACATAGCCTCTCAGAATATATCGTCATGTATTCATATGTATTTTTTCATTGTATATACTAGCATATATGAGTACCTATATTATGAAAGACATTGGTACCAACCCTGTGGTATATGTGTATGTGTTGTTGGTGTAATTTTTTTGTGTATTTTTTCTTATACATAGATTATATATGAAAAGACCGTATAAAAAATATATATGCGTGCCTGGGTTTCTCTTCACTTTCCGGTATATACTTATGTTAAATGTATATTACTGTTACTACTTGCTATATGCGTTTCATTATAATTCGATTCGTATATGAGAGTACTAGAATGTATAATCGTTATATGAGTACATTATACTATTACATGTATATCGGTTCCTTTTAACCTACAATAAGCATGTGAATTTATATAGATTTCTTAGGAATGTGTTCATTGTACTGTACGTCGACTAACTATGATGTGCAGGATAAAACAGTCGTTAGAATGGTGCTATTGTTGTGTTATCTCCATCATGTAGTATGTTATGTATCGTTGTGTAATTTTGTTATACAACAAGTGAAATGTGTGTGTGTGTGTGTGTGTGTGTGTGTGTGTGTGTAATAATAATAAACGGTTTATTAATAGAGTTGCAACCGGTGGCTGAAAATATACAGACTTACATTTGATTTGAACATATAATATGCGTTGAATACATTTACAGGGCTGTACAGTACATAAATCAGGAGTTGTTTATTATTTTAACAATAGATGGGATGGTGCTGTTCTTATATCTATCGGTGCGGGCTCTTATGGGCTGAATTTTGTTGTAGTGGCGGACTGCGCGAGGTGGGTGGGGGGCTGCAGGTGGCAGGAGGTGGCGATGACGAGGGTGGTGCAGTAGTCCACTGCCAAACCTTTCCAGTGCTTGGTGGTGGAGGTCACTGAGGGATGGCATTTCCAGGGTGGAGAGAGCGTTGGTGTAGCCGGAGTATTCTGCGCCGAGCATGATTCTGCAGGCCCTTTTCTGTACCTTCTCTACCTGACGTTGTTGGGTGGAGTTGAGAGAAGACGACCAGGCTGGTGACGCATACGTTAGTTTGGGGAGAATAAAGGCGTTGTAGATGGTCCTCAGCTCTGGCGTGGGTGTCCCAAGTGACCTAAGTCGTCGTAGCAAGTAGAGAAGGTACGAGGCTGCCTTGATTGTGTTATGACTACGGTTTTGGTGTGGTTGATGGTGACCTTGTTCTCCGTAGTCCATGCCTGTAGCCTGTCCAGGGTGCCTTGTAGCGATGAGTAGTCTGGTGCGGTATTGTCCACTGAGACCCCCACAGTGCAGTCATCCACGTACTTCCACCTGTGAGGAGTGTCTGATAGAGCGTCGTTGATCAGGATGAGGAAGCACAGTGGTCCCATCTTGGTCCCCTGTGTGTGTGTGTGTGTGGGTGGAGGTGTGGTAATATTATGCAGGGCTCTGATACGGTCCACCCCATTGTCTCTTCTTATGTAAATGAAAGATGTCCATTCGTTGTATCTGTTAGGAAATCACCTGAAACTTATTGCGCTCATATCCACCTTATCTGTATGTCAACAACAAAGTGTGTGCGTGTGTGTGTGTATGTGTGTGTGTGTGTGTGTGTGTGTGTGTGTGTGTGTGTGTGTGTGTGTGTGTGTGTGTGTGTGTGTGTGTGTGTGTGTGTGTGTGTGTGTGTGTGTGTGTGTGTGTGTGTGTGTGTGTGTGTGTGTGTGTGTGTGTGTGTGTGTGTGTGTGTGTGTGTGTGTGTGTGTGTGTGTGTGTGTGTGTGTGTGTGTGTGTGTGTGTGTGTGTGTGTGTGTGTGTGTGTGTGTGTGTGTGTGTGTGTGTGTGTGTGTGTGTGTGTGTGTGTGTGTGTGTGTGTGTGTGTGTGTGTGTGTGTGTGTGTGTGTGTGTGTGTGTGTGTGTGTGTGTGTGTGTGTGTCTTGAGACAATGAGGAGGGCGTAGTGATAGTGTGAGGTGAGATCGTGTTTGCCATTGGTGAGGAACCACCACCACTAAGTTCTACACTTGTCATCATTATCTGATACACTATCTTTGCCTAGTTTCGGGGTGTCACTCACAATGGGCTGTGTGTGTGTGGGTGGGTGTGTGACCATTACATGTCAGTACCACTGTTGTATGAGGTAACGTCCATGAGCTCATGTAATATTTTATGTAGGAATTGATGTTTGTCCGCCTGTAGGCAGATCTTACATGAGAGATTTTGATTCCAGTGAACATCTGTGCCAGTACTACACCTAATGGAGACAATACAAGTCTTTGAAATTTTTCGAAATAATCCGAAACCGTAAAAGAGAGAGAAAGAGAATTATGTATCTTTAGAAGTTATCCTTTTCATCAGTATTGAATAATTAGACTGGGATAAACAGGTGGTAATTAGTCGTGAGGTGAGGTGTGTGTCTTGTGTGTCCAGATAATGAGAGGAGTTTATATATGTAATGTTTATATCGAGTGTAAATAAAGGCGGTGGTAATGCTGTTGTGTGTATGTGTGTATTAAGTCGTTGTTTCTGGCTCAGTGGATCCAATACTCGCTTTGTGTCCCAAGTGAAGGTGTCAGCCTCACTACCTCCTTCCGTCTTTAGTTATACTCTCTTCCCCTAACAACTCTCCCGCCCACCAGGCTTACGGGACCCACTTTCACTTCCATTCAACGACGGTGTACCTTGATGAAGCGAGTGTTGACTTTGATCGTACTATATTTAGCTTTCTAATCTGTGTATGTGAAGGAAAACTCATACATCAATGAAATATGTATAAATATTTAATAGGAGAATGCATGAATCAGGAGTATGTGTGTAATTGTGTTTGTTATGACAGCAGGTGGTATTAGATGGAGTCGACACGTAATACACACCGACCGTCGACTAATCCCACAGAAACTTGTGTTGACAGGTAGCTCACTGACCAAGTTGTTGTCACTGATGATATAACTACAGTCGAATTTAATCTGGATTAATGTAACATGTTATTAAATGATAACTTACACCAGCGTATCTTAACTTTACCTGTCATTTCATGTTAACTTACAGGAGGGTATCTTAACCTTACCTAACGTATTTGACTTAACCTCTCCTGTAATAAATCCTCTTAAACTAGCTTACATTAACCCAACTTATCCCAAGATCTTTTGGTGAGTTGTATGTTAACCTAATTAAACATACAGTTAATCTAGTAAAGTATTCATCTACCTCTCTCTCCACTCGCTTTCCCTCCATGCCTGCCTTCATCCCTCCTCCTCCTCTTCCCTCCATACACTCTTCTCTCCTCTTCTTCCTCTTCCCTCCATAACATCTTTTTCCTCTTATCCCCTCCCCTTTTCCTCGTCCTTCGCCACTGTCTTCCCTCACTTTCTCTCCAGTCCTCCTCCTCCACCTTCCCATCACCACGCCATCTCCTACACTTCCCCCTTCCTTCCCTCTCTCCCTCTTTCCCATCGTCACCCCACCTCTCCTCTAGCCTTCTTCCTGTGTGCATGTCGACTGCCCCAGATACCCATCCCGTGGAGCCAGGGCATGTTTGTTTGTGGTGAAAGTGGAGTGTGTGTGTGTGTGTGTGTAGGGTCCCTCCGTCATGGGCCGTACAGATGATACCTTAATCACTATTTAGTCCATATTTGGCAGGAAGTTGGATCAGGAGATTTGTATATATGTGTGTGGGAGGGGATGGGAGGGGAGCTGATTGGGAGTTTTGGGAAGGTAATGGGAGAGAGATTTGAGGGATAGGTGTGGCCAATGACTCTGTGTGTGTGTGTGTGTGTGTGTGTGTGTGTATGTGTGTGTGTGTCCTCAGTCACAACGCCACCATCACTAACCAACCAACAAGCGTTACAATCTTTCTTTATCTTAGAACAAGTATCGTTACTATATCCTTGGCCAGCAGTGTTCCTTCTAAACGTCTCTTAAAGAATGGACCTATGTCTATGTCAATGTCTATGTCTGTCTGTCTTTCTCTGTGTGCCTGTGTCTGTCTCTCTGTCTGTGCATGTCTCTCTCTCTCTCTCTCTCTCTCTCTCTCTCTCTCTCTCTCTCTCTCTCTCTCTCTCTCTCTCTCTCTCTCTCTCTCTCTCTCTCTCTCTCTCTCTCTCTCTCTCTCTCTCTCTCTCTCTCTCTCTCTCTCTCT